TTTGATTTATTGTAGAGATGAGGTCTCGCCAAGTTGCCCAGGCAGGTCTCGAACCCGCGGGCTCAGGCAATCCACTCACCTCAGCCTCCCAAAGGCGCGGGATTACAGGCTGAGCCACCGAGCCCGGCTTCTGTTCATATTCTATTTGGGGCCTTTTTCTCTCTCTATGTTTCTTTTTTTAAAAATATGTTTTGTAGAGACAGGGTCTTGCTGTGTTGTCCATGCTGACCCCAAACTCCTGGCCTGAAGCAGTCCTTTTGCCTCAGCATCTCAAAGTGCTGGGATTACAGGCATGAGCCACCTGGCCTCCGTGTTACTTTTTTAAAATGTAGTTTGGGAGGTGGTATATAAAATATTCATATGGTGTTAAGGGAGCTATCTTCAGCTCACTTGTTCTTGCCAAATTGCTGGTCCGGGTCCTTGTGCCGACGAGTGCTGTCTCTCCAGCAGCCTGTGAGCGCTCCTGTTTCCTCCCATCCTTGCCAACACTTGGTATCATCAGACTTTTTAGATTTTTCCCAGTCTGATGGGTGGGAAGTGATATGTCACTACAGTGTGTGCATTTGCTTTTTTTTTTTTTTTTTTTTTTTTAGTAACTGGTGAACATCCTTGTCCTTTTGGGGGACCATTGAGGTTTCAGAGGGAGGATTTGGGGCCTCCTGCTTTAATCAGAGTGCAGTCAGCTCTTCCCTTCCTATGGTGTGGGGTGGGGTGGGGTCAGTCCCAACCAAGCCCAGCGGGTGATGAGATGAGGTTCCCATTGTTCAAGGGAGAGACTGAGGCCCAGAGGGGACAAGGGACTGGCCCAGGGTCACTCAGTGGTGAGTGCCAGAGGAAGGTCCCAGCACAGGACTCCTGGGCCCTTTTCCCAGCAGAGGGAGCCCCAGGCATGGAGTGACTCAATGGTCCAGGCTTGCAGATGGAGTCCAGCTGGGCCTCAGGAGCTGCCTCTGGGGAGGGGAGGGGCCTCTCAAGGGCCTTCTGTCCCTTGGGGCCAGCCTGAGCGTATATGCAGGCAGTAGGGTCAGCTACCATTCAGCCTGGCACATTTCCTGGCTACTTCACTCCTCAGGCATCTAGGCCAGGCTGGGCTGGGGAGGTGCTGGCTCTGAGTCTGAGGGATATGGATGTGAGGGATCTCCTCACCCTTGGTCTTTTTCTGAGCCTCTTTCTTAGTCCTTCACCCCAAGCCTCTGTTGCTCTTGGTTTCTGTCTCTCCCATCTCTGTTTTAGTTTTATTTTTTGAGTTGGAGTCTCTGTCACCCAGGCTGGAGTGCAGTGGCACAATCACAGCTCACTGCAACCTCAAGCTCCTGAGCTCGGGCAGTCTTTCTGCCTCAACCTGCTGAGTAGCTGGGACTACAGGCCCATGCCAACATGTCTGGCTAATTTTTTGATTTTTGGTAGAGACAAGATCTTGCTATCTTGCCCAGGCTGGTCTCAAACTCCTGGGCTCAAGCAGTCCTCCTGCCTTGGCCTCCCAAAGAGCTGGAATTACAGGTGTGAGCCACTGTGCCAGGTCTGTCTCTTCCATCTCTTTCTCTCTCAGTCTCTCTGCCTGCCTCTCTCTGCCTTTCTCTGCTCTTCAGTCTCTCTGTCCCTTTATGTCTCTCTATCCTACTCTCTCACTCTCTTCTTTTTTATTTGTTTGCTTTGTTTTGTTTTTTGAGTTGGAGTCTCACTCTGTTGCCCAGGCTGGAGTGCAGTGGCACGCTCACGGCCACTGTAGCCTTGACCTTCCGGGCTCAGGTCGATCCTTCTGCCTCAGCCTTCCAAGCAGCTGGAACTACAGGCATGTGCCATCATGCCTGGCTAATTTTTTGATTTATTGTAGAGATGGGGTCTTGCCAAGTTGCCTGGGCTTATCTCAATCCTGTGGGCTCAGGCCTCTCACTTCGGCCTCCCAAAATGCTGGGATTATAAACTTGAGTCACTGCGCCCGGCCTCTTCTGTCTTTTTTTATTTTTTTTGAGTTGGAGTCTCACTCTGTCACCCAGGCTAGAGTGCAGTGGCACGCTTATGGCCACCGCAGCCTCAACCTGCTGGGCTCCGGCGATCCTTCCGCCTCAGCCTTCCAAGTAGCTGGAACTGCAGGTGCCCGCTACCACGCCCGGCTTCTTTTTGGATTTGCTGTACACACGAGGTCTCACCAAGTTGCCTAGGATGGTCTCAAACCTCCGAGCTCAGGCAATCCTCTCACCTTGGCCTCCCAAAGTGCTTGAGCCACTGCGCCCGGCTCTTCTGTCTTTTTTAATTGGAATTCTCCAACTCTGACTATGACCATACCACTCTGAATATGCCCTTTCTCATCTACATTCTCCAACTCTGCCTTCCTCCCTTGGTCTCCCCTTATCCCTTGTGTCCTCTCCCTCGTCCCCAGCCCCAGCCACTGCAGCAGGCTCTCTGGGACCTCCCAAGTCCAAGCCACCTGACCTAGAATCCTCTCTCCGGGCCTCCTGACAAGCTGTCTTTACTGGCTGAGGGGCCAGATGGTGGCGCCCCAAGCCCCTGCTCCCCAGCCCTCAGGGGCCAGACCAGCTGGTCTGCCTCAGCCAGGCTCCTGCTTGGAGGGTGGAGGCTGGTCTCCCGCCATCTGAGGGGAACCAGCCAGGGGAAAATGTACTGGACGTTTTGCAGCTGCTAGGCTGAGTCCCTGGGCCCTTGTCACCACTCCCACCCCCACCCTAAGCAAGGCTCTGGCCAAGAAAACACTCTTCTTCCTCTTTTCCTTCTCTGTCATATGTTTGTGCATCCGGCTCAGCATGGCCTGGAGAAGAATGTAGATTCAGGAGCTATACAGTCCAAGGTTTTGTTTTGTTTTGTTTTTGAGTCGAAATCTCACTCTTGCCCATCCTGGAATGCAGTGGCATAATCAGAGCTATATCAGCCTCCTGCTGGGCTCAGGTGATTCTTCTACCTCCGCCTCCTGAAGTAGCTGGGACTACAGGCACGCACCACCACGCATGGTTAATTTTTTGACTTATTGTAGAGACAAGATGTCATCAAGTTGCACAGGCTGCTCTTGAACCCTGGGCTCAGGCAATCCTCTTGCCTCTACCTCCCAAAGTGCTGGGATTATGGGCGTGAGCCACTGTACCTAGCCAGTCCAAGGTTTGAATCTCCTATTCCACTACTGTGTGGCTTAGGACAAGTGAGTCACCTTTCTGAGACTCACTGTCCCCAATTATAGAG